TATATGCACCATATATATTCGTAGTGCCCACAGAGGCCACAGGGCATTGGATCTCCTGGAACTGGAGCCGCGGTGGAAGTTTGGGGACTTGAATTCAAATCCTCTGGAAGAGCAACCAGGGCTCTTAACCACTGAGCCATCTTTCCAGCTCCCAAATTATTTCTTTGTATCCTCTTCATTAAGCTTTTTTACATTTAAGTTTTTAAAACTTTTGCTGAAAACTAAAACATAAACATACATATTGGCCTGACTCCGTCCTGCAGAGACTGTCACCTGCGGGTCTGAGTCAGAATTGTGATCACTAGGGCTGCATCCAAGTCCTGTCCCACTGAAAGGGTCACAGCACACAGACTACTAAGATAACCAGGCTCTCCTCCGGAGTTCTTGCTGAGGGCTTGCCTGCAGTTGTTACCTTTTCATAATAATAGAGTGTTTTCTGAACTCACAGCAGCAGCACAGCACGGAACACACAGCAGTCCATTGCTCACTGTTGTCAACAGCACTGCCCCCATGCCACTTGGCACGCGAGCGATGCGTTGTGCTCAGATGTAATACAGCTAGGAATGTTTCCACTGCTGATGACTGATGTTTCCAGCGTTGACTGATCACTACACCATGCAGAACTATAGTGCGGGTGCCTCTGCCTCTCTCCAAAGGGCCCCATGCCAAGTAGATGCATCTACCTCAAGCGCAACAGTGGGCATGGAAAGGCACTGTCAAAATGAGTACAGCAACCCAGACTCACTGAGACACACACATACACACACACCTGTCATTTTGTTCTCGGGAAATCCCACCTCCTCCCAGAGCTGTTTGAGCGACTCAGATAATCAAACACTTAGCTTTATCTCATCGAGGAGAACCCCTCACGTAGTCTCACCTCGACCCAGCTCCCAGGTGGATACTGTATACAGAACTGTTCAATAAATGTTGGAAAGTGTCTTAGTTCGGGTGAATATTGCTATGATGGACACCATGACCAAAGCAACTTGGGGAGGAAGGGGTTAAGTCAACTGACACCTCCTTCATCTCAAAGGGGTCAGGATGGGAACTCAAACAGGGCAGGAACCTGGAGGCAGGAGCTGCTGCAGAGCCCATGAAGGGGTGCTGCTTACTGGCTTGCTCCCTGTGGCTTATTCAGCCTGCTTTTCTATAGAACTCAGGACCACCAGCCCAGGGATGACTCCACCCACAAAGGACTGGGCCCTCCCACATCAACCACTAAGAAATTGTGCTACAGCCAGATCTCAGGGAGGTATCTTCTCAACTGAGGTTCCCTCCTTTCAGATGACTCCAGCTTGTGTCGAGTGACGTAAAACTACCCAGCACAATAAGTGAAATAAAAAGTCTGTTCACCTTCTACCATGTGCCAGCCATAGCTTGGGAGATGTAAACTGAAATCAGACATGGACTGTTGTCTCTAAGAACTAACAATCTGATGAGCAGTAGAAACACATCAAAAATGCCTCATGCTCCTCCCTCTGCTTCTGAAAACTCTATGTTGAGATCCAAATGCTCATCCTGTATGTGTAAAGTGCTTACTCTGGGTTCGGAAGAAACACAGGCGTAAAAGACTCCGGCACCTGAGACTCAAACACACAGGAGGCAGTAGAGTGGTGATGGAAGGAGAGCCAGGGAGTAAGGGCATACACATTTCTGCATGATCAGCGCAATGACAGGGATACTTGGGCTGTTCTTCTGAGGGACTGTGCTTCAGACAGCGGTGCAGCAGGTGGAGGAGCCTGGTCCCAGTTCTAATCCCCAGTCCCAGGCCAGCACACAGCACCTGTCAGTTCCTGAGATGACACTGAGATGTTGTGTGAACCGTAAGGACCACTCAGAAAATTTTAAGGGAACTTCTCTATGACAGACAGCCCTCTGTCCGTGGCAGAGTCACCGCTGGCTTCCTTGGAGAAAAGATGTAGTTCCCCAACTCCTTTGGCAGCTTTGTTGGTCAGGTCTGCTTACCTGCTGATTGTGACTGCTTTTGTCCTGGTCTGAAACCATTTAGTGTGAGTCCAGCAGATGTGTCTGGCCCCAGTAGGGACCAGAATAGCCTCTCGCCAGCAGCATAGGTCCCAGTTCAGAGCTGGCTCCTGGAATGTCTTCCTCCTTCCTGTCCACTGTGTCCAGACCTCTCACCTCCCCAGCCAAATTCTAGCCAGGACAAGGAAATTAGGCATAATTTCACAGTAAGGACTGTGTTTCAGCAAAGGAACCACCACTGGACTTGAGCTGGACAACATGATGGAACATGCTAGAAAAATGCAGCCTCTCTGGGCTTGTGAACACTTTTCTCAAAAATAGACGAACTCAGGAATATTTGGAAAACTCTAAAAAGTATTTATTAGTTTTCTTTTTTTTTTTTTTTTTTTTTTGATTTTTCGAGACAGGGTTTCTCCGTAGCTTTTGGTTCCTGTCCTGGAACTAGCTCTTGTAGACCAGGCTGGCCTCGAACTCACAGAGATCCGCCTGCCTCTGCCTCCCGAGTGCTGGGATTAAAGGCGTGCGCCACCACCGCCCGGCTATTAGTTTTCTTTTAACTATGGTGGAGAAAAGTTTTAGCAAGCATTTCTATTTTTCGGTTAGCACCTTTAGATCTCACGGTGTTGATTTAATATAATACACATGACAACGCAGAAAGCAGCAGGAGTTAATTTCCAGACACATGTATATGTGCGCTTGCACTAGAAACACGTGCAGAGGATTGTCTAAAAGCTGGTTTATCGGATAAACTTTGAAGCAGCATGCTTTGTTGGTTACTGGTTGAATGCTTTCTAACGTGGCAAACTTTAGAATGAGGGCATCTGACGTGGACATCGGCCGCAGTGAAGATGCTGTGGAATGCTTGCCTACCACGGTAGAGCCTTGGATTTTCTCCTTAACCCGGCAATAAAATAAAATAAAATCCTTTTTTTTTCATTACCTGCCTTTACGGTTATGGTTATGGCTATTTCCCCTCAATTATTTAATGGATTTTAGTCCTGTCTCTAATGAGAAGAAAGAGGAAATGGTTTTTCGTTGCTATTTGCAAGCTCAGAGACACACCGCAAATGGGTGTGGCAAGGAGCGGCTTCGAACACAAAGCAGATTAAGTGTGGTGCTTACTCTCCCATCCCAGGACATTTTACCCCGGAAACATGGAGGAGGAAGGACTCGGCTCGGCTCACAGCTTTGGAAGTTTCACGCTCGCTCTGCCTCACTGACCTGGGCCTGTGGTGAGGCGGAGCATTAGACGGAAGGGCATCCTGGATCTGAGAAAGTGGAGGGAGGGGCAGGTGAAGAGGCCAGGGACAGAGCCCAGTGACCCCCCAGTCCTCCAGCAAGGCCTCATACCCCACATCATGCCATCAGTGATGGTTCAGTCCACAGACTACCCTGAGGAAGGGAGGTGCCCTAGAGCGTCTTTCCTGGCCACACCCACAGCTGCTGACCACGCCTTAAGTCAGACCCTCACGAGAGCACCCACATCCAAACCGCTGTATTTTCGGTACTGTTGCGGACATTATTTCAGAGAATTAGAGAGAATCTTGGCTGTGTTGAGGAATTTTTCCCAAACAGCCACGATGACGATCTGAGCAGAGAGCATCTTTAGAGACTCTCAGGGTCACTGTCCTTTATTAGCTCTTCATCACCAGGGTGCCCCACAAACAACACTCCATTGTAGGAGTCCAGAACACTACGACTGAGTGAAAATCAATCCTAACTTCCTGTCGATGTGAGGGATTTTATGGACCCTAGTTCTTAGAAACAAACCGCAGGAGTCGTATGTTGGAGGAAGTCTATCTAGGTAATTTCAGTGCGGGCTCGTTATTAGATAATGTGAAAGAGTTAGTGTTAATATTATTAGCAGTTAGAACACCAATGTTTCACACACACATATAATAACATAATATTTTTTAAGGGTGTTTTTCTGTGTATCCCTGGCTGTCCTGGAACTCGCCTTGTAGACCAGGCTGCCCTGGAACTCAGAGATCCGCCTGCCTCTGCCTCTCGAGTGCTCAGACAAAAGCATGTGCCACATTCCCAGTCATTCTTTTCTTACCCCACCTTCTGGGATCTTCTCTTTACAGAGCATACTGAAGTATTCCAGAGTGCAGAAATATAACTGAGATTCATATTAAAGTGTCTGCCCAGATAACTGATTGAAATCTTAGTTATTAATATTAATAACTATTCAAGCTCCCTTTACTTTCTAGTACTTGGAAGTTTTCATAACAAATAAAAACCCCACAAATCAAACGCAGTTATCAGATAGTGCAGCTCCAGCCCCAGCTTAGCAGGCAAAGGCTGCAGAGGGAATCCATCTTTGTTCTAGGCATCCAGCCTTCCCACCCCCACCACCAGTTGCGTGTCAGACACTTTTGTTTGCTGTTCCTGAGTTTAGGTAGAAATGGCAGCGAGAGCCACTAAGCCCTTCAACTGCCTGGGTGCAGAGAGCTGGCTGCGGAACCCTTGCGGGCTTGCATGTCACAGCTGAAACAGGACAAAGCAGAACAGCACTGAGGAGGCTGACAGGGCCGTGGGCTGCCCTGCCTGTCATTCAAAAGCAAGTTCAACACCTCAGGCTTTCCTTTCCTTCGGTGAGACCTGGAAGAAGAAATCAGTCTTCCTCCAAGGGTGCCTCTGAACCTCCTTCCCTCCCTCCCTCCCTCCCTCCCTCCCTCCCTCCCTCCCTCCCTCACAGTGAGGGCCTCAGCCAGGGTGCCCAGTGAGCTCCATCTCCCTCAGCATTTCCTCCCAACTGTAGACTTCTTTCAAAGTCTTTTCAGTTCTGGGTGTCACAGCTGAAGCATCCACAAACCCACGGAATCAAAGTGAGCTCCCATCACACAACACAGGTCCCTTTGGGTCTCCATCCCAAGCTTGACAGCGGAATGAACTTTTCAGTATCTTCTAGTGAAAGTACGTTCAAGGTGTTTTTATTTAGAAGGGGTTACACTAATGAGCCAGTCGGCTCCTTCATCCTGACAACGTGGATGAAAGGCGTCACCCTGTCACTCTCAATCCCGATTCCAGGGAAGTCACCTAAACCCAGATCCCTAAAAGGAGTGTCCATTCTGTGGCCTCAACACTCAAGAGACTGAAGCAGAAGAACCGTTTGACCAGCCAGTCAGAATAGTCGGATCCTGTCTTGAAGGAAGAGAGGAAGAGGAGGGAGGAGTGGAGAGGAAGGGAGGAAGAGGAGAAGAGAGAAGGAGAAGGAAGGGGAGACACACACGCGCGCGCGCACACACACACACACACACACACACGGAGACATCCCACTGAGCCTGGGACTACATGCATTCCCTGGTGCTTTTTCCCTCCCCTGGCATTTTATTTGCACTATTATAAGGTTCACTTGTGTTTTCTGGACATGCACTGGGAATTGGAGACAGACACTTAGCTCACCCACTACCCTGAACCCCACTTCTAGCCCAGAGTGTGTGGGGGCACCTCGCCTTCCAGATTTTTCACAGGCCTCCCACACGTGTGCCGTCAGTTAGAGCATGAAGCTGTGGGACACTACGTGGGACTGGTCGCTCAGACACTGGAGGTGACCTCACTTCCTAGGAAAACTGGAGGGCAGGTGTGAGCAGAGGCCTCCGCTCTAGCAGCAGGGTCTGGAGGCTTCCAAGCCCTAACTGAATTGGCCACACTCCACACGATGACACCGTGGGGGTCGTGATCATCCTAACTATTCCTAACTACTTTTCCTGGAGAGCAGCCTTGACCCCAACCTGGCCCGTGTGGTGGTAAGGAATAGGTAAGACTACATACAGCAGCTGGAGATGTAGCCATTGGTCCTCAGAGGCAGGATCAGTTCCACACTAGAGGGACCAGGTCAAGGCATAAGCAGTGAGACCCTTGGGAGTCCCCATTTTTATCGCTAGCTCAAGAGTGAGTTGAACAGTCTCTGTGGTCCCCACCAGCTGTCCTGGACTACGAGACTGTGGCTACCCTGCAGTGAGTGTCATCTGGTCGTCAGAAAACATGCCCTGAATGGATGGGGGTGAATAGGGCATCCCAGAATTGGGATGAGGATGCAAGCCCTGAGGAGGAGGCAGACGCTTGTCCCCTGTTCTAGACAGTGGTAGGAGATGAGAAGGCCTTATGCCTGCATCAGCCTGGGACCTGGAGACCTTATTGGGGAGGAATAGGGCTCAAGTCCTGACTCCTCCCTGTAGCCAAGCAGTTGTGCTCCGTGGGGTAGGCAGCTCGGTGGTCAGCAGTGCTGCTTGGTGGGTCTTCGGGATAGGTGGGGAAGTTCCAGCACCGGCAACCTGGTCACCGGCCTGTCATTCCCTCCAGTAGGTGCCTGCCCACGGAGGTCAGTCGGCCTGGGGCGCCCTGAACTCCGGCATGCTCCAGGTACGTGGCGGGGGTGGCGCATCGCGCTCCACGTCCTCCGAGATGGTCCTGATGTCACTGGCGAAGGGGGCGATGCGTGCACGGCTTTTAAAGGAGGATGATAAGCTGCCGCGAGGCCTCAAACTCCACTGACGCGTCAGTTTATGGGCTTCCTCCTCCTGCTTCGACTTCTCCAGGGCCTCCTGCAGCACGGAGCGGAAGAGCCGCGCCACCTCCTGCACCTCGGGCTCCCTCTCGGCCAGCAGCTGTCGGAACCTGCAGGGACGACGTGGTGGGCTGAGCATCCCACATGCAGGGAACTCCCTGCCTTACTCTTGTCCCAGTCAATACTGAGCTCAAATCCTAGCTCTGTTCACCTCTGAGCCTCGATTTCCTGCCTTTTTGCAAGGTTCACGCTCACGGACAAAGTAACCTGACACTAGCCTAAGGCTGGGGAAGGGGCAGAGTCCTCAAAGGTACACACTGAGAACGCAGCTTGGCTGTGTAAGACTTTCTGTGTCCCACCTGTCCTGGTGATTGCTCTGAGATGCATGTCTGGTTATGTCATTGTGTGTAATCACAGAGTCCCATCTCCCCCAGCTCCATGTCTCTTCAGGATGATAGACACACTGTGCTATCACAGGGGCCCTTCTTCTTCCTCAGCAGGAAGGACAATTGTGCCTCCTTGGTCCTTGTGTGTCTCCAGAGCTGCTTCCTCTGCCATGAAGATTTCTCCCTGGAGCTCAAGAATCATCCGTCTGATCCTTGCCTTCCTCCACCCTCTAGAGAGCCAGCACTCAACAGGGGCAGAGAGGAAAGCCAGGAGGCAACACGGCTGTCCCCTCACTGTGGCTTTCCACCTCAGCCCCACACTCTCTTCTGAATACTTTCAGGGACTCCCATCATGTAGAACCAGGAAAATGGGAGACAGCGGTCTGAACGGAAGGCAGCCAGCAAGAAGACCACAAAACCAAAGGGGGAAAATAAAGGCAAAGCCCTCTTTGGGGGAGCATTTCAAAGAGAGAGCACAGAATGGACAGGTAGTGGCAGCCATTGCAGGAGTTGGGGTTAACACTATTAGCTGTATAGATTTGTCCTCCACAAAGAGAAACGCCAACGAGGAACTTCTCCTCCTTTGGAACCATTCCTGGTTTTGGACTGCCTTTGCCAATTCAATGTGGACAGAGCTAGATGGGTCACAGCTTCAGGGAGGTGGTTTAAGCTCTGGATCTGGCTGTACCCAAGCTTTACATGTTTGGTGCCTGTACTCTCACATATTCTCTGAGCCATGTTCCCTCTCCCCCAAACACACACTCACACCTCAGGCTGAAACAGAATAATTAAGACACTAGCTTTGGAGAGATTGAGGGGAAAGGTCCTAAGGAAGGAATCCTGATGCAGAAGCAGCAGGGACATAGAAGATAATAGATGACAAAGGAGATGTTCTTAGTGCCAGCTTCCTGACCACCCAGGAGGGGAGGAGAGGGTTTATGGGCTTTGAGCCTCACCCATCATAACCTGAGGGCCTCCAGGATCTGCTTCCAGCCCCAGAAGAAGCCCCCCCCCCCCCCGCATATGCCCTTTGGGTTCCTTTTCCTGCCCTATCCCAGCTAACATGTATCTGGGCCACTCATGCCCTCTGGCTCGGCTCCTAGTGCCTCAGGCAGCTGCAACAGCAGTTACCCTCTCTGGAGCCCTCAGGTCACAGTTGGTCCCCAGGGCAATGCTAGGGTTACCTGAGGATGGCAGGCCCACAGTAGGATGGGTGGATCTTGGCACATACATCCTCCAGCTGCAGCCGTTCAGCAGGGCTGAGGTCATAGGTGGGCCTGGGCGCGCTGGCCAGCCAGCTGTAGTCAACTCCCGTGCAGATCTTCCTGACTGCATTGCGACGCTCCCTCTGCTGCCTTTCCACCTCGCGCATCTGCCCAGCCAGCTCCATCATAAGTGTCTCCAGCACCATCTCAGCTGGGCTCCGGGCTGACAGCCGGGGCGGGGCGTCATTCCACCGGAACCATGGGATGAGGGACATGGTCCCCCAGGCCCTGCTGTGACAGAGAAGTGGGTGGATCTTCTCTGTGTCCCTTGTCAGCTAGTGGAAAACCCAAGAGACTAAGAAGGAGAGAGGAGATTTGGGCTCCAGCTGAAAATATCCGCTCCCACCCCCACCCCTTACAGCTGTGCAGCCTAATGTAGGTCACAATCTCTTTAAGCAGAATTCTTAATTATGGAAAACAAGATAGGGCCATTTGAGAAGCAGTTGTAAATAAGCTCAGGTCACTGTAAACATTACAGAGAAATAACGTATGCAGCCATGGTGATAAGAATCCTGAAGGAATTCTGGTGACTAAATCCAGAGTAATTGTTCCCTAAATCTCACTAAGCCTACCCGAAACAGGAAACAGTCCATGTGCAGCTGGGCACAATCGTATCCCCATGATTTATGGGGGATACACACACAACACACACACAACACTCACAACACACATACAACATACACACACAACACACACACTTACACCCCAGGCCCTGTCCCATAAGAAAACGCTGTTTCGGATCCCTCCAGACTAAGGCCAGTACACTTAAAAGTGTGTAGGTTGACATCGCCCCAATAAAACTCAGCTCACCCACTATCTGTTCATAATTCATTCATCCAGTAAGCATCAGCCACTCAGTGGAGGACCACAAACAGGGAAGTATGTGGGGGCGCTGCTCTCCACGGGACATGAGACTTGAATCTCATGACTGGGCAGAGCGCACTCAGTATCTATGGGGAACACTGGGTGATAAAGGGGTTCAGAGAAGCAGTTGTGGGTGAGAGGGTAAGAATGAAGGTAGACAGATGTCAGACACGGGGGCTGAGAGAGATGGCGGTCCCAGGTGTGCACAGGGCTGCCTGCGCAGAACACGGTGCAAACCAGGTCCAGAGTGATCAGACTTCCATAACTGTGAGAGAAACCGTAGGGACACTTCAGACACAAGCATAGGCGAGGCCTAGGAAATAAGGCCGACAATGGACCAACAGAGGCAGGTGACATTTAAAGGAGAGTTAACTGCGTGGAGGAGCCTACAGAATAGGAGAGAACCTTCGACCTGAGGGATGCACATATGGCATAGAATTAATATCTAAAATATACAAAGAATTAAAAAAAATAAGCAAGAAGTCAAAGGACAGAGTCAGTAAGTGGGCCGATAAAATGAATGGACAGTTCACAAAAGATGAAAACGTAAGCCGGGCGGTGGTGGCGCACATCTTTAATCCCAGCACTCAAGAGGCAGAAGCAGATGGATCTATAATGAGTTTGAGGCCAGCCTGGTCTACAGAGTGAGTTCCAGAACAGCCAGGGCTGTTACACACAGAAACACTGTCTCAAAAAGGATTAAAAAACAAATGAACAAAAAGATTTAGTCCAAATGGCCAGTACCCCCAGGGAAGTGTTCAACCCCTCATCGGAGCTGGTCTCAAGAGGGGCCTCCTGGGTCCCTCTCTCCTGGAGACCTAAGTTGGCCTGTACAGGCAGATGTTTCTCAGCAGCTAAGGCTGGGTGGGCCTCCTGAGACCGAGCTCTGTGAACCCTAAACTTCTGGGCCCCAGCTTGGAGTCTCACTGGAAAGGGGAGGGCATTCTCAGCTTTCTTCCCTCCCTCCTTCCCTCTCCCCACCGCCACCCCCCAGCCCGTGCTTCTCCACACCGGCCCAGATCCAACAGCAGCAAGTCTTCTGCTGCAGCTATTTCTGTCCCGGGTGCCAGCTGCTCCCCCAGGAAGCTCTAGGGGCAAGCCCGATTAAGTTCTTAAGGCCACAGGATGGGGAGGGAGGACGGGGGAAGGGAAGGACAGTCTTTAGACAGCTGTCAGACAGACAGACTCCAGGACCAGCCAGACTGTGTGTGACCTGCCCTGCAGGACTGTAGTTTTTGCTCCTCAGCTCTCCTCACTGTCCCCTCTGGAGGCCTTACTACCCCTCAGGAACAGAACTCTGGGCAAGCTTCCAAACCCCTCACATTCTAGTTCACCACTGCAGCCTGTGACAGGGCCTTGGGGGCTCAGAGCCTGTCATGGAGGCCTGCTCCCCACTCAGCCCCACTGACAGTCTCAGATACCAGCCTGGATGCTAGGAGTGAATGCTGGTTTCCTTAGGTGTGAAGCAGCACTGGGGTCTAGGAGAATGACTGCCAGGTTTCCTTAGGTGTGAAGCAGCACTGGGGTCTAGGAGAATGACTGCCAGGTTTCCTTAGGTGTGAAGCAGCCCTGGGGTCTAGGGGACTGAGTGCTGGTTTCCTTAGGTGTGAAGCAGCCCTGGGGTCTAAGAGCATGTTAGAAGACTGTGCTGGAGTGTTTGTGGGTGTGGGCAGGCTTACATTTCAACCATTCAGACAAGCAACACGCATGGGCGTTTACACACGCAAACGTGTGACTCCAGCATATAGCAAAAACAGCTGTTTTATCTGAGGGTATATGTGTTTGCCTTTTGGTGTTGTCTTTTTCTTCCAACTTTCCTGCATTCACGGCTGTGGAATTCTCCACCACAGGCACAGGCAGAGCCGGGCTGGCCTGAGGTTGGCAGGCGGTGGGCCTGTGCCATGCCTCCCACTGCACTAGATGTGAGGCTCCCTCGGGGAGTGTGTGTTCAGGAAGGAGTGTCTGCAGTCTGAGGTGGGGGTCCATAGAGAGTCATTGCAATGCTTCCTCTGGAGTCAGCTCTCCTAGACGGAAGGAACCTCTGCCACCCGTGTGTGACGACCAGGAACTCCCACTGAGAAGTCTCTGCCTCATTCTCAGCCAGGCCTTATGGTCCTCACCTTCGCACGGGACTGGCACACTGTGCAGCACACGCCCCAGAGTTCTGTGATGTTCCAAAGAAAGTGTGTGAAGTCCTGGGTCTGCCCTTCCAGAACCTGGTACACAGTCTGGAAGTGAGCACAGCCTCTCTGCCTGCCAGAAGACTGAGAAAACACGCAGAATGCTGGCCTACGGTGACACAAGGTGGGGAAAGGAAGAAATGAAGGCCAGCTAGGATGATATACAGAGGGTCCCAAGACTGTGAAGACCCCCCCAACACCGTGGTCTATGAGAATTTTGGGGATATGACTCTCTCCCGTGGCTGGGAGATGGGCAGGATGGATGATGTTTCTAATAGTAGCTACTCCTCTCTTCTCTCCCTGGGTCTCTTCTGATAAGGAGCACAGTCTTACCTTCCCTTCAACCTCAGACATGCTTGGTGGCCTGGTGGTCCCCCTTCCCTTTGGTCAATTTCTGTCTCAGATGGTGATGAAGAAAGGTCATTAATTAAATAATTAAAAAACTGCTTGGCCTCATAAATTAAAACATAAATAAAAAAAGTAAACAAAACAAAATGCTAAAAAAAAAAATAAGCTCAAAAAAACGCCATGCTCCTCTCTCCCAGACAAACGCAATTCAGCTCCAACCCAAAATAAACGTAGGCTAAAATCTTCCCGGTAAGCGCACCTTGGGGTGCTACACAAATAATTAAAAATAGGCTAAATTAATATGTAAAAATTAGCCTATAAAAAGGCTAAATAAAAATGGGCCAAGCAGTATTTAAATAAATACAATTTATATGTTGTTATTTCGGGCATAAGCTAGCAGGCGGCCGGGGTGCTATTACTACAGGATGGGACATCCTGAGACTGGGGAGAGTACCAGCCTTACCCGACACATCTGTGTCCAAGCTGAGGCTGAGGAGAGAGTGCCAGCCATACCTGGCACTAGACGAGACGCATCTAGTCTATGTTCAGACCACCGGAGTCTCAGTTTTCCCGTCTGTAAGAGGGGCAATGAGGGTGTCTGTTTCAGGTTCCTGTAAAATTAGCTAAGCCTGACAAGAGCTCTCACAACACAAGGCTGGTCCACCTGTGCTGGGGCTCTTCCCTGGGGTCCTAGGAGAATCAAGTTAGGAACTTAGGAACACTTTGTTTCCTTTAGTTTAAAATGTAGCATTTCTGGGATAGAGAGGGAGCTATGCAGTCCAGAGCACTTGCTGCTCTTGCAGAGGGCCAGCACTACATACATGATGGTTCACAATTCTGGATTTCCACAGACACCAGTCACACATGTAGAGCATGCACACGCGCGCACGCGCACGCACACACACACACACACACACACACACAGGTAAAATACGCATACACATAAAATAAATAAATCTAAATTATTTTAATATAGCATCTCCCCCAGGTAGGAATGACCACCACATAGCCCAGGAGTACCCTGACACCTGAGACTTTACCTCCAGCCAAGCTCAAAAATATAGTCCCGACTCTTCAACGTTGTTATTTGTGAATATTGTGTGCTCACCGCTACTCTGAAACGTGGTGTTTATTAGGTATGTCACTAGATTTTATAATCCGACCTATCTAGAAAAGCACAGATGTCGCTATGCTATAAGTTGTCTTTATGCGTATTTCCATGGTTGCATTTCCATAGAACTGGTTTATCTAACCCAGCTCGGGTGATGTTTCATTTAGAAACACTTCAGAAATGTTTTCTCAGTGACCCCCAGAAGTCTGTAGAACAGAAGGGAAAGCCTACCCTGCCCTCCAACCCCACGACTTAGTGCAAGTTTCACCCCAACCTGGATCCTGGCCTTCCCTGGCCCTGAGTTGAGCTGCCATCTTCTGAGAGAAGCTGGTTGTGGGCACCTGGGGCTGGTCCACACAAAAGCCCTCATTCCCACCACTGCCCCTAGGTGTCACTCTCCCCTCCCCTTTTGCCCCTCCCCTTCGTTACACTGCCTCCTCTGCTCATACTCTGAGCCTCTCCTCCACCCATTTCTGGACTCCCTGAGGACAGTGGCTTTCCATCTTAGAAATGTTCCACGCCTGCCCTGAATCCCAAGGGAAGAGGAGTCTGGTCCTAGACAATAGAGGGGACCACTATGCTCACCAGTGCCACACATTGAAGGGGATGCTGTCCGTCATCCAAGAACCCTGATTTATTAGTCCAGAGGGAGCCACACCCAGGCCAGCAGCTGCTGCTCTGCCCCTGTGGGGCTGGGCTCCCACAGTTCGGC